TTGTTTAATGAAATGTAAAATAAGAGATTATATATAAATTGGTCTAAGATATACCACATTAAATTATACAAAATTCATTGAAATAATGAAAAATAATCCTGGTTAATTTGAATGTTAATTTTACTAACAGCTTAAGTAGTTCAATAATAATTTTTTTATTTCGAGATACGTAGTATGTAGATGAAGTAAAATAAAAAATGAAAAATGCTTGATTCTTATTATGCAATCAAAATGGTTAACTTTTATTGTACAATTAAGATAAAAAAAAAAATTAAACAATAAAGCATGGAGTGACAATAAACAATAAACATGACACTTAGTAGCAGGTAATCTAAATCAACTCATGGAGGTGGGGGACCCAGCAGGGGGCGTTTCATCTTTCATGACTACTGAAAAATCAAAAGCATGGAGTGACAACATGAATATTCGATCGTTTTAATTGCGATGCACTGTAAACTGGAGGATAGCCACCGGCCTGGTTTGACGTTTCTCCGTTATGCTTTATTTAATTGGTTATTATTTTCATTTTACACAATGAAACTGAAAGTCATTATCGTTTATTTCTTTATTTTTATTTTAACAAATACAAATTTAAAGGAAAAGATTTGAATTCATTACTTAAAATTAAGGTATATTTTTTAAAAATATTTATAGTTAATTAATCTTTTAAATTTACCCAACTGCATTTCTATAATTTGAATATATATGAAAGTTTTTATTTCAGTTGAAAAATAAATTATTAGTAAATCTCTTAAGATATTAATTACATTGATAATTATTCACTTAAATTTTCTTTCAATTTCTTTTTATCCAATTTTTCATTTTTTTAATATGACATTTCATTCAAATTTTTAGATAGATAGTGATGTCAACATTGAATTTTTTTTAATTCATGTTCACATTTCACAACAAAAAACGTCAATTAAGTATATTATACTACTAATTATTTCCATTATTGGTCACTATTATTGTAAAAATTATTTTAACAAGAATAATATAATTGTTGGCCAAAACATTTAAAACACAAATTAAATAAACAAGTATTATTTTATAATTTTTGGTATATAGAGACTATAAATTAAATGCTAAATCTATACCCAAAAATGTACACTTGTGAATATAAAGCCTAACTTAAAGATGTAATGAGAATAAATATATAAATACATTAAAACTCACGGACTTGATAAATTAATTTTTTGAGGTAAAGAAAAAGCCCTAAACATATATGTGAATGGGATCTTATTCATGATCGTGACCTCCCATCGATTCAATTCTTCAACAATAATTGATAATTAGATATGATTCACACTATAAAAAAAAAAAAGGAAAATTACAAAAAAAAGAAGATAATGAGAGGATAATCTTTTTCTTCCACTGGAGGAGAAACAATAATTGAGGAGACAAAGGAGGTCATCTTCTCAGCCAGCTATGCTCCAAACTCATTGAATCTCAGATGGTGGGATCAATGCTGCAGCTCTTGTGGGACTGTCTGGAAGAAGAAGTCAATTCTTTTGTGTCGTGGTTGAGCACAAGTGTCAGTTGGCTGGTAGTGGCGGTGGTGGTGGGGATTGGGAGTAACCTTTTCTTCAACTTCTGCTTTCATACCATATGAGTGTTGTCAAAAGGGCAAAATGCCTGCGTCATGGCATGGGAACGTCTGAGTTATGTAAGAATGGACAACTGTCTCCTGACTCTAGGGAGGGCCAATAATACTGTTTCACGCGGAATCAGTTATGGGTCTCTATGATATATGCTGCTAAATTATTGGTCTCTTATCCGGTTTGTTTAATTGGCCTTATTGATATATTTGATGTTTTGTTTCTCACTTTTTTTTTTAGTAAGGTTTGGGTTTTAAAAGAACTCATGATCACTTTAATCTTAGAAAAAAAAAATTGTTGCAACCTAAATTATGTAGAGAAGACTCCCTAATATTTTGATAATAGAAAACACATTTTTATCG